TCCAGTGGGGAGATCCAGGAGGAATTTTGCGGTCGCCAGAGGAGGTGAGTCAGGAGAGTCCAAGACTCCTCAGGGAAAAACCACCTGGAGGCAGGAAACAACAAAGAGAGTAACTACTCGTTCCATCAACAAGAAGAAATAGAGACTGGCTCTAGGGCCTCAGAGGTACCGTTGCTGGCTAACACTCAGGCATCAGAGTGGCGGCCGTCAGCTCCTCTTGTACACCTTGCCTGATGAGCAGATTGCTCTCAGGTGCGCAGGATGACGACACACCACTCCAGAGAGAGGTGAGTTTGGTGCCATCTGGTGGCCAGATGGTGAGTAGCCGAACCCAGACTCTCAAGGAAAACAAGGAACCCCGGAACACAACAGAGATAACCATCTGGCCATCGACATGCTGCCTGGATGAGTTGCCCACTAGATTCTTAAAGTCTGTGCCAAGCAGTATCTTACCAAAACTCATTGATCTTGTCAACATCTCATTTCAGCCTGGAAGGCCTTAAATATTGCTGTCATTAAGCCTCTTTGAAGGAAGAGCAGTGTTGATGTCACAGTGGTGAAAAAAACTACCAGCCCATGTCAAGCCTGCCATTCTTAAAAAATGTCACAGAAAACACTGTATAGCTACAGCTTACTGACTTTCTCCTGTCTAACAATGTGTTTGACACTTCTCAGTCCTCTTTTGGGCCACAGCACTGATACAAATCTGATTGAGGTAACAAATGATATCCATTGGAATATCGTTCAGATACAGGCAAAGTCTTGGTCTTAGTTTGTGCTTGACCTGTGTGCTACCTTTGATACAGTTGACCTGGTATGGCTTTAGACTGGTTCAAGTCTTACCTCAAGTACAAGTGTTACCTTGTTAAAATTGGCAACTATTTTTCAGACCAGATGGGTCTGACCTATGGGTTTGTCTGGGGATAAGTCCTTTTCTGTACATTAGGCCAGCCAATACAGAGCTATAATGTGTCCTATCACAACTATGCAGATGACATTCAGATCTACATGCCACTGACAGGAGAACATGGGCCTGTAGATTTATTTTGTCACCGTATTGAAAAGATCAGTTTGTGGATGCAGAACAATTTCATCAGCAACCTATTGTCTCCAAGAATTGGAATTGTCACAAGAATTGTCTCCAGCAGGATAGATTATCTGGGTTCTCTGAGCAAGTTGTAAGACAGCTGCAGAACATCCAAAATGCTTCTGCTCAAGTTCTGACTAGAACCTGGGAAATACTATCATGTAAGTCCAGGGCTTAGGTCTCTGCACTTGCTTGCTGTCACTCAGATAATTAAAAAGATCTACATGTGTACAAGTCTCTTCACAGTCAAGCACTACACAGTACGTCTCTGGCGTGTAAGAGCCGTATGAACCAGCTAAAACTCTGAGAACCTCATCTTCTGCTGGTGCCCAGACTCAGAACCAAGCAAAGTGAGGCTGTGTTTAAGTTTTATGCACTTAAAATCTGGAACAGACTTGATGAAAAAGAGCCTCAACTCTAATATTGTTGAAATCTGCGCTAAAAAACAGTTATATTTAGCTGTACATATGACAACTGAAGGTATTTTATCTGCAGTCTTCACTTTTGGTTTATTAATCAATAATTTTAGATTGTTTTATTTTGTTTACGTTTGTCTTAATTTCTGCTTTTAGACTCTCTCTTTTTTCTCTCTTTTTTCTTTTATATAAAGTACTTTCAATTGTACTGTACATGAATCATGTTAGACAAATACATTTGCCTTGTCTATATAGTCAACACTAAGTGCAATATACTACTACTCTGTTCCTGCCCACGTTTAATTGCCAAATAGAACATTTCTTTATCCCCAAAGTAAAATGGATCTGTGCATTGGCTTTAAAAAATAGCAATTACACTTCCTCTCATCAATTATGTATTGAAGTAGATCTAAATAAATACAATTGAACAAAATAGTTCATTCAGTCTAATAGTTCAGTCAAATAGAAAAATTGTTTAGTTTATTTTGAAAATATCTATGCTGCTACTCCATGAAATCACTGTTATCTACTGATTTTTTATTTTTCTTTACAGTGAAAGAGTCTTTTTCCTCCTGCTCAGTGAAAGCATTTACTTTCACTGAACTCAAACACAGGGTAGATATCACATGATGAAATTACATTACTCATTAACGCTATAATTTCCCCAAAAGTAATTCGCTACCTTAAATAGTCCTTAAAGACATTCATTTAAGAAATTCCTGAAAACAGGAAAACTTGACACCAATTCTGTGGGTGATCCAATCCAGACATACCAGGCAGTCTACACTAGTCATTGCTTTACTGATGACCACTGCACTATCGTTCAATGCATTGCGTTGTGATGCAAGATAAATCAACAAAATGGTGGAACAGCAACTTGCTGATGAACTAACAAAGTGGTCAATTAAGCCAACAAAACTGAGAAATGTTTTAATGACAATATGAAAAATCTCCTCTGCATCGACACCATGTTTCAATGAGAACTGTCTATGTGACACTGACTGAGGACAGTGGCTTCTCCTCACAATACATGATACAATACATACAAAAAGTCTTTGAGAGCTTTTGTACAGGATGTTTTTCAGCTGGGCCAAGGCACCAAAGAGATTTCAAACACATGAAAATTCAAAACTGCAGACACTGTGGCACTTTTGTTGCTACTAATGCGGGTGTAAATGTTGCTGCATCAATTTCTGCAGGTAAACATAAGCAGTCATACACCAGAACAGCTTTGTTGGCTATTCTATCTTCAGCCCAATATCTTTCCTGTCAGAGTTTGGCAATCCAAGGATGCACAAATGCAGAGTCTAATTTGACCCACTTACTTACGTACTGAGGAATTTCCAGAGTTATGGTCACTGGTTGCAATTGCTGTTGACGTTTATTTTTACATAAACGTCAACAGCAATTGGTGTGAGATCGGGCCTCGTGGCTCCAATATGTCGTAGTCCCGTATTTCGTGACACGTTTAATGTTCGAATGAGGTTTCTCGGAGGTGGTGGGGCTGAGCGATTAGGCCCGGAACTGGCCTATGTTTTGGGGCCCTTTTTCGGCCTTCCCATTCATTGCCTATGGGAAGGCATTTCGGCTTTTTCACCATTTATTAAAAAATGCTGGAACTAATGAGACAGAAAAATACAAGCACGCATTACATGGTCGGTTTGGACACACATGGCTTTTTTGGGCCCGACCCGTCAAACCGTGTGGGACTAGTTAGCGACCAAAATTTAGGTACAAACGGGAAAACTACACATTTATCACGAAATTTTAAGGGGGAAACACCAACTGCCCACTCCAGGAACCCCAAACTGTGCGAGATCGGGCCTCATGGCCCCAATATGGCAGAGGCCCGTCTTTCGTGACCTGTTCAGTGTTTAAATGAGGTTTCCCAGATACCAGTAGGGCTGAGCATTTAGGCCCGGAAGCGGGCCTTGTTTTGGGCCCGTTTTTCGGGCTCTCCATTAATTGCCTGTGATACGGCATTTCACCCCTTTTCACCTTTTTTCTGAAAACACCCAGACTAATGAGAAAGTTGTATACGCGCACGTGTCCCTTGGTCAGGACGTACGTGCGTGCCAATTTTGGGGCTGATCCGTCAAACCGTGCGCGACAAGTTACACGCCGAAAATCGAGATGGAAACGGGAAAACTATAAGCCATGGACTAAGTATTTACAAGAGTAACAGGGAGGCCTGACGCTGGTAGTGGCCCCCCTAACTAATCATATGTTGGTTGGTGATCATTACATCTTTCCTTAGGGCCACAGGAACAGAACAGGGCCGTAGCTGCTGCAGCTGTATTGAAACCACAGTTGAGTAAACTTTGACCGAGTTCGAGGAATGTAATGCATCTGGATAAACCTGTTGGGTCGGTGCTCCAACCCAACAGGTTTCTCATCAGGTCTCTCATAATATGGTTCCAGTTCATCCTGAACTGGAACCAAATCTTAAGAGACTTTAACAACTGGTCCCAGGTTTTGGAGATTTGAATTAATGGGCCGGGGGATACTTAGGATAGAGATCAGCGATAGAAACAGTTTAGATTTAGCAGCCCACATTGACCCTGTCTTGCTTTCATGCAATGAGATCCAGTAATTCAACTTGGAGATTGGCTGCCCAGTAACAAAACAGGAAGTCAGACAGGCCCAGTCCTCCCGCACTGTTCGGCTTCTCCAATGAGCTTCTTTTAATCCTTTGGGGGAGGTGCCCCAGACGAAGCCAGCAATGTGACTGTTTAATGGTTTAAATCATGACTTGTTCAGTAGAACTTGAATCATCTGAAACAAGTATAAAAAACGTCGTAGTACTGTCATTTTGATTGTGGTAACTCATCCCGCCAATGTGTTGGGGAGAGCTGACCATTCGGGGAAGTCCAGCTACTTAGTGTGTTCTAACAAAGTTTTAAAGTTGTGATCATAAAGGTCCTATTATGATCCCCACTAAGGTGAAAGCCTGTTGTTGTCATTTCAATGGGAAGCTGGTGTAAGCGATGGATCTTGCTGGAGAAAGTCCTGCCTAAAACATTTGATTTTGAAAGTCTGCAGAATTTGTCTGAGGCTGCACATGCTGCTCTATTCACAGCTTAAAAATCTCAGACAGACTGTGACTTCCTGTTGGGTATGTGCTTCTCCACTCCCCACCACCACACCGAGCTCCTCATAAAAAAAGCTTGTGACAGGAAGTTCTCATTTCCTGCCTCAGCTTGTCAGTCTGTCGTCTTTCAGAGCTCACAGATCGTTTCTGTTCAGGGGAAAGTTGAACTGTTTAATTGTTACTGACAGCAGAAATGGCTCAGAAAGGAGTTCAGCTGGATAGAGAAAGCATCTCCTGCTCCATCTGCCTGGATGTCCTGAAGGACCCGGTGACTATTCCCTGTGGACACAGTTACTGCATGAGCTGCATCAAAGACCACTTTGATGGAGAGGATCAGAAGGGAGTTCACAGCTGCCCTCAATGCAGGAAATACTGCATACCGAGGCCTGTCCTGGTAAGAAACACCATGTTAGCAGCTTTAGTGGAGCAGCTGAAGAAGACTGGACTCCAAGCTGCTCCTGCTGACCACTGCTATGCTGGACCTGAAGATGTGTCCTGTGATGTCTGCTCTGTGAGAAAACTGAGAGCCATCAAGTCCTGTTTGGTCTGTGTGGCCTCTTACTGTGAGAGACACCTTCAACCTCATTATGAGTCACCTCCATTAAAGAAGCACAAGCTGGTGAAGCCCTCCAAGAAGCTCCAGGAGAACATCTGCTCTGTCCATGATGAGGTGAAGAAGCTGTTCTGCCGCACTGATCAGAAATCCATCTGTTCTCTCTGCTCTGTGGAGGAGCATAAAGGCCACCACAAAGTGTCAGCAGCAGCAGAAAGGACTGAGAGGCAGAGAGAGCTGGAGGGGAGGCGGCAACAAATCCAGCAGAGAATCCAGGACAAAAAGCAAGATGTGGATCTGCTCCAGCAGGAGGTGGAGGCCATCGATCAGTCTGCTGACAAAACAGTGGAGGACAGTGAGAAGATGTTCACTCAGCTGATCCATCTCATCCAGAACAGACGCTCTGATGTGGAGCAGCAGGTCAGATCCCAGCAGCAAACTGCAGTGAGGGGAGTCAAAGAGCTTCAGCAGGAGCTGCAGCAGGAGATCACTGAGCTGCAGAGGAAAGACGCTGAGCTGCAGCAGCTCTCACACACAGAGGACCACATCCAGTTTCTGACCAGCTGCCCCTCACTGCCAGCACTCAGGGAGTCCACACAATCCTCCAGCATCAGGGAGCGTCCTCTGAGCTGCTTTGAGGATGTGACAGCAGCTGTGTCAGAGCTCACAGACAAACTGCAGCACATCCTGACACAGGACTGGACTAAAGTGTCACTGGCAGCCGCTCAGCCGGATGTTCTACTGCCACCAGAACCAGAGAGCAGAGCCGACTTCTTAAGATGTTCATGTAAAATCACACTGGATCCAAACACAGCACACATAAAGCTGTTACTTTCAAAAAGAAACAGGAAGGTGAGATTAATGGATGAACCTCAGTCTTATCGTGATGACCCAGACAGATTCACTCGATGGTTTCAGGTCCTGAGCAGAGAGAGTCTGACTGGACGTTGTTACTGGGAGGTGGAGAGGAAAGGGAGGGGAGTTGGTGTAGCAGTCGCATACAAGAATATCAGGAGGGCAGGAAGTGGAAATGAATCTGGATTTGGATTTAATGACAAATCTTGGGCGTTATATTGTGATGAAAAAGGTTCTACATTTTGGTTCAACGATATAGAAACCTCCATCTCAGCTCCTCCTCCCTCCAGAGTAGGAGTGTACCTGGATCACAGAGCAGGTATTCTTTCCTTCTACAGCGTCTCCAAAACCAGGACTCTCCTCCACAGAGTCCAGACCACCTTCACTCAGCCTCTGTATGCTGGACTTTATGTTTATTGGCCTGGAGACACAGCAGAGTTATTTGACCTCAGATAATCTCTCCTCTTAGCTTGTTTCTTTCTGTAAATAATCATTTATGGATTCATCCTGAGGTGTAAGATGTTTCAACATCTGTCCTGAGGTGTTGGAAGAAAATAAAAAGATAATGTCTGAATCTCGGACACCAATTCTGTGGGTGATCCAATCCAGACATACCAGGCAGTCTACACTAGTCATTGCTTTACTGATGACCACTGCAATATCATTCAATGCATTGCGTTGTGATGCAAGATAAATCAACAAAATGGTGGGACAGCAACTTGCTGATGAACTAACAAAGTGGTCAATTAAGCCAAAAAAAATGACAAATTTTGTAATGACAATATAAAAAATCTCCTCCACATCGACACTGTGTTCCAATGAGAACCATGTCAATGCGACACTGACTGAAGACAGTGGCTTCTCCTCACAATACATGATACAATACATACAAAGAGTCTTTGAGAGCTTCTGTACAGGATGTTTTTCAGCTGGGCCAAGGCACTAAATAGATTTCAAACACAATGACAATTCAAAACTGCAGACACTGTAGCACAGTTGCTGCTACTAATGCGGGTGTAAATGTTGCTGCATCAATTTCTGCAGGTAAACATAAGCAGTCATACACCAGAACAGCTTTGTTGGCTATTCTATCTTCAGCCCAATATCTTTCCTGTCAGAGTTTGGCAATCCAAGGAAGCACAAATGCGGAGTCCAACATGACCCAGTTACTGCGTGCTCAAGATATTCCAGAGTTATGGTCATTGGTTGCACGTAAGGACAACAAGTGGCTCTTACGTGACATTTTAAAATGAGATGAAACAAATTGTGGCCGTTGATGTGTTGAGTTTTTTTTTTCTGTGTTTCTGCTGACATTCAGTCAGAGAGCAGGATTTGTTTTTGTGATGCGGCTGAAAATCTTTTTTTTTAATATAACATCAACAACCACAGCAAATGTGTTGTTTCAACTGCTGAATTTTTTTGATGAGATTGTCACTGTGGCTTCAGAAATGCACAGAACAATGCTATGACGGCCTGTCAAATACGTCTGGCATTTAAACCTAATGTGAAATTCAGTTCCCGTAGTGACAGGAGCATGCTCAACATCCCCAAAGGTGAATTTGATTATTTCAAGGGAACCGCATAACAGTCACATCCGATTGCTTGTGTTGTGCAAAAGTCATCTTCCCCACCAGGAATTACATCCGCTATTGCAGGAGCACACATAAAACAAAGCTGTTTTACCTTTGAAAAGGGTGATAAATCCCTTGGGACTGCCTGCAGAACTTACCCTTGAGTCCAGTTGAAATAATCCCGATGCAGTCATTCTCCTTGGATGTTGAAAAAGTAAATGAAGGGTATTTAAAACTTGTATGGTGTGATTAAGTATGAGCCAAGTTATCTTTGACAAAAAAAAAGATGATATAATGTAACACAAGCTTTAAAAATTCCAACTTTAAAAAATCTGCTCAAATTCAATGCAATAGTTGGGTATGAGCTGATATGTGTATAAAGCGTCAGACACTGAGGCTTAAATAATAGTGCTTTTTTACCTTGAAACTCTCAAAACCGGACAAGTCTTTTGATGAATTTCTGATCATGGGTGTAAATTCACAAATGCGAGTCACACCAGATGTGCGCTGCAGTGCAAACAATCTGTTTCCCTTATGTAGGGAGTGTGAGCATCATACATGGAAGATTCTACATACTGCATATACTTTCTGATCTTTTAATTGGTAAAATGACAATTTGTGGTAATTTATTGTATTATGTCTATTATTTTATCTGTAGTTAAAAAATACATCAAAAATGTATTTTTTTTGTCAGTGTATGTGAAGAATGCGAAAGAATCATTTTTTTCCCCATCTTCAATTGCATTTATAGATTTTTTTTCAATTACATTTCTTTATTTTTATGTTTTGTGTTTCATTTCACGTAATAAACTACCTTTTTTTATAGACTGGCCTTTCTTTGTGATCCTTTTTAGCGTGTAACAATTTCTATACATAACTCTAAGGAAGGACATAGTAACAATCCCAAGTAAATGTAGTCACCTTATATTATGGTCTCAGCAATAATAAAAGTATACTTTTAGAGTAATTATTGAACAACAGGCCAAATCTGCTGACTATTACGAAATCCTATTTGCCTATAGTTTGCATTGGCTTAAGCAAAAGATCGGCAGCAGGAGTTGCAGCAAATTTAAATTTAAATTGGACATGAGTTAAGTTTTAGTCAACATTCTGAACACCTACCCTACCATACATCAAACAAAACCATATTAATCATTTATCACCATTATTTTTTCTTTTTTGTTATCTCTTCTTCTTTATAGATAAAACTTTCCAATAGCTAAAATAGGCACAAAATATTGAAGCAAAAAATCCCTTTGGCATGGGATTTCAAATTATTTAGAGCTGTACCAGTTCATTTTTGCCTCCAAATGACTGCAGACTGTAATATGGAATTGTGGTTTTGACCAGCAGATGGCAGGCTTAAGCTTTTGAAAACCTTGAGTGGAACCATTAACAAAGACATCATGGGTATGTGCATGCTTGTGCTGCCCCCAATGTAATGTATTTTTTTCAAATTGCATCAGTAACATCTCAGACTATCATCTCAAGCTCGAAATACTACTTTAAATGCTGCAGAAAAATGTTTGTCAACTCACTGTAAATTGGACTATTTCACTTAATGTGTCGCCATCTCGAGGCTTCTAGGAGAAGTCCGCTTTTTGAAATGCATTTCCATGTAAGAAATCATCTGTAATATATCAATAGAACCCCTTCAGTGCTGAAATGGTATAATATAATGTCTATTGTATTAATATAGATTCATGGGGGGAAAAAAAAATAGAATTTGAAAAACGACACACACCTTTTGAGTTGTTTTTTATTTTATTTATTATTTCTGAAAATCATTTTCATTGACTATAGTACACAGCAGATGTTAAAAGTCAGGTGGTTTGTACACTGGTATGAATGGTTGAGAAACTGCCTTATCAACAAAATTATTAACAAAAAGAAGATGTCATGGACTGATGAAACTACAGAAGAAGCCTAATCTTATATTAACTAAGCAGCTGCTGAAGATTCAGCAGCTGAACCCTTCCTGCTCCAAAATAATATAGCACGAACATCAATATGCTCTCATATTGCTCAGATCCAGCAATTTACTCTTTTTTTGTGCCTTTCAAAATGCTTTTCAATCCAACATCATAATCTGTTCGGAACATACATGCCAATTCTAATACATTTAACCCCTCTGATGCCATCTTAGAGGAATATTAGCTCTCTTTTTGCAACTTTCTACTACAGAACTCTCCTTTTTCCATAATCCTATCGGTAGATGATAGGTGGTAAATGACAGGCTTTTAACTCACTTTCTTTCATTCTCAGTGGGATCTCTTGCCTCAAATTAAATGCATTCCTTTAAAACCCTTACACTTTTTATCCTTTTACACTACATATTAACGGTTATGTTGACTTTTCTAATTGACTTCTTGGGGCATCTCATTCTTGGGGTGGGGGAAATGAGAAAAGCTTTATATTTCATGATTCAAGAACCTTGTGGGGAAAAAAAAGAAACAAAAAAATAATAGCTTTGCTTTTATAGATGAAACTATTCAACCTCACACTACCATACGATGTTACACCGAATACAAAAGAGGAAAACCGTTAAATTATGACTTAACTCATCATAACTTTATGTTCTTACAAAGTGTTGCATTATGGGTAAGAAAAGAGAAAAGGTCAGGAGAAACAAAGATGAGGATAACAAACAATTGCAAAAGGATAAAGAGGGGAGATAAATCGTGAAGAAACAAGACAAAAACTACAAAATGCAATAGATTGGGAGTTTTAAGTAATTTCTCTCGATTGTTCAGAGAAATCACAGCAGAATTCAGAAGTAGCAGCGGCTGACTTACATATAATATCTGAACTTTCATCTTAAATGATCTTACCACAGTAATACTCTGAATATTTTAGAAATTGTCCAATGGCATTTTTATTTTAGTACCTATGCTCTCTGCCTCCTACATCAAACCCTTTTCACAGCTTTTGTTACTCTAAAAAAATTATTTTCAGACTCCTCAGACTTTTTTCCCCATCTGGATCAAAGATTCCATCAGTTAGACGACAAAAATGCTGACAACGCAGCGTTTAAGCTCTACACATAGAAAATATTTACACATTATTTTTTACATTAAAATGATTTTGCATATTAAAAACAGATAATATACTTGGCAATTTGAGTGAACCATTTTAGAAATGTACTACATAAAAAAAAAGAGAATAGAAAGAATAAAAAGTTAGGTAAAATTAAATAATAACCTATTAATTGTTGACTCTCCGGCATAGTTTCACTGAACTGCGGTACAATGATTAACAGTAGACTTATGGCCACACAGATGTCAATATTTGCTAAAACATTTTTTATTTACAGAATTTCCATTATTGAAACAATTATTCCCCTCTAAAATCCAGCGGAGTGTCAGGTTAAAGTAAGACAAAAATATTCATGGAAATGATTACTGAATTCTAAAATAAAAACATATGACACAGATTATAACCCTGTTGTCAAGCAGTAGATGGCAGTATTCTTTTATCCAGATGGGCTGAAGCCTGTGGAAATCCGCTATGTTGAATTTTTAACCACTGACAGGGAGGTATTTAGCTTTTAGAAAAAATTAAAGCCAGCGTGAAAGGAGCAAAATAGGAGACACATTAAGTTTTTTTTTTTTTTTGTGCCTGTCTCCCGTAAAGTGTCACAGATGAGGAATGAGACATTTGTCGGACGGCCAAAGAGGAGTAAAAATCCATTGATCTGTTATCAAACCTCTCCACTCAACACACACATTCACACTCGGATACCGTCTGAAGAAAAGATTGGTATCAGTTACACCATTTGAACCACAAAGAAATATGATTATAGCTTCTGACAGGTTATAGTCCAGTACCCCATGGTAGTTCACCGTATCAGCAACTTCTACTGCTGACAGATTTATATATTCATTTATATGTACTTATATATACTTTTCTTTATTAGAGAAAACTATTTAACATATAACAAAAAAATATGATATTAGGAATTGGGAAAAAAACAGAACCAATGCTAAAAGTGTGTTTCTGTTTAAATATTCCCCTTAAACCAAAGATTTAAAAAAACAAAAAAACAATGCAAATGTAGACGAGAGCTCGTTTAGAGATTCAAAGTATTTCATATTGTCTTTAAAGATCTTTTTTTTTCACTTAGTGGCAAAAAACAGAGACATGCAAAGTTTATCAACAAACCAACTGAAGCGGGAGTATGAAAAAAAGATGGAAACACAAAGGAGGAAGCAGCCTCCACCGAGTGAGCGAGCCAATGTGAAGATGCCTTTTTGAACCGAGCAGATCCAGAATGCGTGGTATTGAGTTTCTTTGCTCATGTGCCATCATGGGTTAGGGGTTTGGGGGGGAATGGGGTAAGGGGGGGACAACACGATCCAGGGGGGAGTTTTTGTTGTCGTCTCTTAAGAATGAGAGACTTTGCAGTAAAAGTTAGGGGCTCTATAGAGATTAAAACAGTTCAGCTGTGATTTCGGAAAGTCTTAATTCTCCTGTACGGAGCGTCACAAGTCCATATATCCACATTTGTTTTTGTCCTTTTTTCCCTTCTGCATCCTCCCTTCCCTTGCCAGAGAAGGTAAAATTGGCTGTTAAACAGACCACAGGTCAGTTCACACAGAAACACCATCAAGTGCATGCATGCACGCATACATACACACACACACACACACACACACACACACACACACACAGACAGAGTCTGGATTAAAATTAGATGTTTAAAAAAAACACATATTAAACATAATAATGATAAAAGAAGAACAAAGCAAACAAACATGAAACTGGCACGTGGAACTATGACACAAATGTGCTGTTCTTTGACGGGGTCAAAAAATGGGGAAAGGGTCAATTCATTTCTCAATTAGCATTCTAAAGAACAGCTCGACCATCAATCCCAGAAAAAAAAAGAAAACAAACGCAAAGATTTCTGTGAGGTGTCTACTTCACAAATCCTCTGTTTGTGAGTAGCGTCAACATTTAGCTTTATAGAATCCATCATTTTCACAAACTGACTTTGGGTGAAAAGATGGGAGAAAAAAAACTGTTTTCCTGTGCTGAAAATTGCAGGAAGACTCTGAAACCCCCACAGTCTGCAAACGAGTTGGGTAATCATTCAGCCAATATCAGATGTTTCAGATTAGTGAAGCAGTTTGAGGTTTAACTTCCCTTTTCTTGTGTCTCTGACCAGCAATAAGGGGGGGCGAGGCTTAATAGGCCCATAAGGCCCTTGTGTGCTATTCCATTAGGCTAAAAGGACGATGTATTTTTGGCCAAAGATGTCCAGCAGCCCTCAGAGTCGAAGCCTCAAATTGCTAAACGATCAGTGCTATGTGCCAAATCAAAACATTTTATTTATCAAGTGTTCTCAGTTTCTATGTCATAAAACGGACAGATCTAAAAAAAACAAACAAAAAAAAAGACCCCAGTTCCAAGAGGTACGTGCAATTGTAATTCTCTAATCCAGGATTTACCTCTAAGGATGAACAGATCTCACAGATTAGCATTGATCCAACAAATGGTCAATGTGTCTCTAAACCCCAAAGCTCATTCAGCTCAAAGCAGATGACAAATAGCAGCTGATGACCCCCCACCCCACCCCCAAAAAGGAACCAAAAAAAAAAAACGCATGTTATTTTGTCACGTTTAGCAGCCGACCAGCATTTTGCGGCGCAACCTCAGATTTTCCTGGAAAATGTCAGACACACAGGTATAGCTGGAAGCCCAGACAAAGCTCCCCACTTTCCGGCGGTCTTGTCAGGCTCATATGAGTGGGTCGGGGGGAAGGGTGTGTTGTATCTGCTGTGGCTGCAAAGGTGGGGGCAGCTGCAGCGGCAGCAAAGCCTCCACCATGTTGTGGCAATGCGGCGGCGGCGTCCCCTCGCTGCTGGAGCTCTCGGCCACTTCGCCGCCGTGAAAGAAGTAATCGCTCTGCACGATGAAGGTCTCGATGACGGCCTGGTTCAACTTGGTGGTGGAGAGGGTCTCCTTGTTCTCAAAGTCGGGCCTCATCAGAGTGGGCCAGAAGCAGATGGAGAGGTTGTCGGCCGTCATCAGGGTGGTCTTGCTGTGCTGGCTTACCCTGCCAATCAAATAGTTTCACACAAAAGGTTACAGCGTATAATCAATACGAACTAATCCCGAGACAACTAATAAAACATACAAGTGTCCTTTTCCCTATAGTTGTGTGCTTGAATCATTCGCTGAGTTTGGTCGATTTGTTTGGAAGACATGTCTTTACTTTGAACACTTATTCCATTTTTCCTTGTTCCATTATTGAATACAACTAATTAAATATTTTGTGGTTTCTTGGTGTTAAAAACTCAGAGGGGAAAAGAGTTTTTAAGTTAAACAGTCAGTTTATATTTGCACGATATCCAGATTGTCAAACTAAGTTTCAAACCATGAAAAACTAAATACTTTTTTTCTAAAGTTATTTTATTTGTCATTGATGATTAATGTATGGCTTTAAGATACCATTACAGCTGAATTTTGCTCCAACACACGACAACTAAACATACCATATTCATTTTTTTGCTGTTCTGCCTTCTTGAACCATAAAGTGTTTGAATGGACATGATTGATTAATAAAACATTACTGAAACGAGGAATTTGAGTTACAAAATCAAGATAATTTGTCAGCTGCTATAGAGGCAACCTATAACCTATAAGAGAGCAAAAGGAAAAGTAAGCAAGCTGGCTTTGTAAAACTTGAGCAAATCTGCAGCAAAATACTGTATTTTTTGCACTTAAAAGCCTTCGATTTTCTCAAAAACCGACATTTTGTTAAGTATATCCAAATACATATTTTTTTATTCCCAGTGTACTACAGTGGTTATTGGAGCCTATGTCTCTCTTACTCAATAGTTAATGTTTCATTTCGTATGTATGGGTAAAGGAAGTGTTATATTACACCTTAACCCCCAGTAAAAACTGGATCCCTAAAGAGATGCAACATGTAAGACTGCAGCGCATGTACCAGGTAAGAAACCTTGGAGATATTTTTCAGTCATTACTGCGTTGTGGTGTTACAACCAAATGTGATTCAGCAACCTCACACTGATTTTTCTAGGCAAGGGGAGTGGGTCACAAGCATACCCAAGATTTGTATGAGTGTGTATTTATCAACATTTTTTTCCTTTACCTGTTGAGGTGAGTGATGATATATTTGAAGACCTGGTAGTTGACGGGAGGAAACTTCTTCACAATCTCTTGTAAGACCTGCAGGCGCTCAATGTAGTCCACGATTTCTGACACAAACACACACACACACACACACACACACAGAGGGAAAGATTACAGACGATGTTTTACACATATTGTCTCATGGGAGCACAAATGGAAATAAAAGAGTGAAATGAAAGCCAAGAGCAGCTACTTAACTGTACACAAACGCACTCACCCACCAGTAATAACACTCACAGGCAAGGACAATACAATAGCAGCTCGTGTTTACATTGAAACATTAAAAATACATTACAACAACTACAAAGACTTGTTCACATTCTATGAAATCCCAGAAGCCACAAAGGGCTATAAAGGTTACAGGTTTTTGTCTTTAATGTTCCACATATTTTTTGCAGTTTTCCTTGCGATGGTTTATATACTAATGTGTTTATTTACCAAAAACACTTTTTAAGATTTTCTCAAGCCCGATATTTTAAGTGAAACATTGACATCACATTTCACAAATGTTCAAAATCTTTTTTTCATTTATCTTGCTTCCAGGAAAATATACGTCTTTAAAGTTTTTTATCAAAGTTGTAAGCACGAGAGACAAACTTCCGTTATTTTGTAAAACTTATTTAGAAGTGCTTCGTTCTGTCACGCTTTCTTAGTAGAAAGTTCAACGAGGTCTTAGAAGTTGACTATATTTTACAAATTATCTGACTTTATTTTATATAAGCAATGAGAAAACTAGATAACAGCTTAGTAAATTTTTGTTTGCAAAACTCACCCAAAACCAAACAAATAACAAATATTTTGAACAGTCCTTGCTTTTTACTCTATAAAATAGTTATGATTACATTTGCAAGAGCAGTCATTACTTTTGACTGCAAATAGCAGTCACACTTCTGTCTTGTTTAGTAAAGTTATCAGTCTAAATTTGGAATATTCTGCAGCATTTCCAGAGAATCTAGGTCAATTGAAGTGAAACCTTTAGCTTATTAAATGTTTAAAAAAAAAACAGTAAAGAAAAACAAAAAACAAACCACCATAAGTTAATGACTGTTCTCAATAATATTCCAGACATTTTTGGACCATGGTAAGTCATTCATATTTTTAGACACAACTGTAAAACCATATACGTAATGCCACACAGATTTATTTATACTGCACAACATCAATCATCTTAACGAACAGCCAGCAAGAGACAACGGCCCTCTAATGGATGTGAGGGGTCATAAGTCAATAATCCATGCTGTCACAGCTCAACTCAGTTTACAAGTAGACCAATAAAACACTTTAATCCCCTTTTAGGAAGTGAACCTCAGCCTGATACTATCCCACAATGTTGTAGCTTCAGTGAGGTGATGAAAACAAAGGGGATGGTTTTAAAAATAAAACTTTAATTACCCCTTCCAGAACTCACGTGGTTGCTACATTGGCTTGCAAGAGCATTCTCCAATTTTTGGATCAAAATTTGCAAGTAAAATTGGACTGTTTATCTTATTGTTTTTTATTTATTTCTACTGGAGCTGCATAGAATGAGGGCCATTGGTGCCATGAGCATACATTTATGAATGTTAAATGTGCAATCTACCCTTTACATGATCTTGGTATGTAACAGTATACGCACCGGCTCTGATACACCCCAGAGTACGCAACACTGCCAATCAAGAGCCACCACCATGCAATTGACACCATGACAACTAAGGGCCTTTCCAAACAGGTCAGGGACAAAGTTGTGGAAAAATACAATCATAGAAAAGCCACAATAAGTCCAACATCATATGTTAGAATAGAAACCATGGAAAGAATATAACACGATAACAATCTTAAAAAAAGGGCAAAACCAATGAAAACACAAAACAAAACAAAAAACAAGTGTGACCCACACACTAAAAGTATATGATCAACAAGAAAACTAAATTAACTATGCATAAGGTGTTTTTTGGCCCTGGGAAGCACCCATAGAGATGTTGGGCCCAGTCTTCTGCTAATAGGGATCTAATCTCAATTAGAACATTTCATCTTGATACAGCGTTTTAACTTCGCACCATTTCAATTCCGCAATGCAGATTCAAGTGCTGGCATTATATTTTTTGTCTTGCACAATATGTGTCTGGTTTTTAGGGAAACCATCTTGAGTTAAGTGAGTGAAGACTCCACAAGTGATGGCGAAACAGCATAAAAAAAACCCCGGAAGAACAATTAGACAACAAGAACTGAACAAAGGAACCTGAGTTTTATTTTCTCTTTTTGGGATTGATTTTGTTTCAACCATTGTTAAGGCTGTGCTTCTAACTGTTGTATACATCACTGCAATAAATCTGTCACCTGTTATCACTAAACATACTCTCTCTTACTCCTCACAACCAAGGTTTTAGTAGCATAAGTAATCTGTAACTGAGCGTAGGGGAAGAAAAAACATTCTGTGTCAACCAAAGAATGTCACCCCCCGCTAAGAAGAAGCATCAATGCCTGCTGATGCTAAATACATGGAAGGTCTTCTGCAAAATCAGTTTCAGTTCTCCTGAAATGTAACATGTGGGCAGATTTCACAAGGAGATTTACCCAAAATCATCTCCACATTCATCCAAATAGTTTACACCTAGCAGTTAATCAAAATCTCTATACTTTCATATAGTGATCGTAATGAAACTTATATTTCACGGGTAAAACCGCAAGAACAAAGAAAGTGAATTTTAAAAATAAAGCTTACACCAGAGGATGGAGTTTATTTCTTTTTTTTATAATGTTAAGACGGACCAGCAAAGATTAGAGGTAAAATTTGTCCAGAGTTTGTGCTACGCATTCAAAACACACTTCCAGCAACAATGATAAGTTTAGTTCATTTTAGGAATTTCCTGAAGTTCCAGGATATGCTTCAGTAAAAAGAAAAACTGCCTGACAAGTTACACACATTATTGAAGATTAAATAGATTGTGTTTCACAAGCATTTCCAAACCCTCCTTAAAAAAAATAATAATGAAAAAAAGGCTTCTGCTGAAATAAAAAACAAATTCCAAACTGCGGTCCAATATCAAACTGTCACAGAAACCTGTTAGGAGTGGACAGGCTATTGAATAAAACAAAGGTAAAGTGAAGAAAAACAAGTCTAAGAAAGAGAAGAACAACTATCCTGTCCTATCCAGTGTCACTTGAATGTATCTTCAGGTCACTAATCTTAATTTCCCAGCATTTCTTAAAGCAAGACAACCAAGACAGATATATCAAGCAGAATGTAGATGTCAGTGTAAAAAAAAATCTTAACAGTGACTGTTTAGAAGAAACACTTTATCTGTGAAAACATAATGTGCAGTATTAAGCACAGGTTAAACAAAACAGGTTTTCAAATGTGTATTCAAAGTGTTATGTTACTCAGTTTTTGCTAGCCTTTTATTTTGCAGTTAGTCTTTTCTTATTGCCTATTGAGAATTTTTTTTTTTTTTATGGCTTGTCTAACAGAGTAATCATTTCATTAGTTTAACAGTTATGATCTCTGCTTTCAGAGCGAAAACAATCTGGCATTTAATCTTAGTAAAACTAAAAAATGTTTTGAATGGATGAGATAAAATTTCAATGAGCTTTTCAGGTGTGAGAACGTAGAATTTGTGGGCTAGTCTTTACACGCAGCATTCAGGTTTTCAGGCCAAGGTAATCCAACCATTATCTGCTATGCAACATTGACATTTTTTATTCCCACCAACAAAGTGAAATGGTGCTTTTCTAGAAAAAAAAAACTTTTAAAAGGCTCCAAATACAAATAAAACGACATCCTTCTATGGTGTGTTAAGAGGCATGGTCAAATTCCATTTTGAACTTCTGTTTTTTTTTTTTTTTTTTTTAAATATGCCTCTAAAGAAATAATTGACTTGTTATACTTACTTGCAGCCTCTACTAGCTCCGGGTGCAGGCTGTAGGGAATCAGTGGGTCGGGCAGGTCAGCGAAGAAAGCTTTCAGTGCTCCAGCAGCAGCATTCACTGCCACATCCATTGCTACAAAGTCAATATTGTGATCTACAGGAAAAGAAGGGGAAAGAACCGTCTCAGCTACTGCATCACAAGGCCGTTATGCTTCAGTTTCATAGTAAAGGTTTAATCTTCTTCATCACAAACAGAAAAACAGTTTTATCCATGAAGTGTTTATGGAATATACGATCGAATTCTCATCATATAAGCCGAGTTTGCACCTTGACTTCCGAAACATCTCCAGTGACAATTTTTTGACTGTTGTAGCAGAACACATACTCAGTTCAGTTAATAATTTTACTTCCTCATTACTCCAAGGGACCGAACAGTCCTATAATTTTTTGTTCAGTTCAAACTATAAATTTGTCAATATCTATATCAGTCTGAAAAAATCCTAGCAATGCAAAAACAGACAAGAATTTAAAAATGCTTCCTTCTTCCATAGTCTCTCCTTTGATCCTCTCAAGCACAGATATACATGTCCCACATTCTCCAAACAGACAGCCATCACCTGCCTTCCAACTTCCCTCGGCTGAGTGAGAGTCGATTGTTTAACTCATTTGCCAACCACATCTGAACGAGTGCCAACACAGATGGTGCTTGAAATACTCTTATAGGAAATGGAGAGCAATAAAGAAAGGGCTTTAAAGAACAGGAAAGATAAAACGGAACTTACATAGGACATGCAGGCAGGAAGGGGGAGATAAGGAAGTAAACTGAGGACATAAGGAAGATATTAACCTAAAAGGGCTCCTAAAATTGTTTGAGCTGTCATACTTTTAGTTCTTCAAATGTTTTCAGGAAAAAAACATTTCAGCTTAAATGTGAAAAGCAGCCAGCTGTCAGCCATCTTTCTTTTTACAGTGAGACCAATAAGTTTAATGTTAAGTTTGATTCTTTTTTTAAAAATTACACAATTGAACGATCAAAATATGGAGAAGGAATAGCACAAAGGAATAGCTTTAGTTTTTGACTTTTTATTTACTTTTAATGTATGTAGGCCAAGACTGAATGAGAACAGATGCAGCCACATCTGGCTGTGTGAAGAGACTAAACAATAATTTCTTCAAAAGGTCAAAGATTTTGGGGCATTACTCATCAGAATGTGCAGATAGATAAGACGGCAAAAAAATGTACAGAGAATTACCAAATGGTTGAAGATAATTGTAACTGATGGGACTTTCCATGGCAGTGTGGACAGTTTAATAGGCTAGCCTTTATAACAGCTGGTTTCCTGATGAAGGGAGCAAAATATGCAGTCAAGGCAGCCATGTTCACTACTCCTATTGTCTAAACTAACTAAAAATAAATTCCTCTGCAGGAAATCCCTCAAAAATAAATAACCACATGTTATTTTTCCTAGTTCCTAGAATCTCTGTGCAGCCAAATGGAATTCCGTTTGTATTCCTTCACTTATTTTCCCGTTTTTTAGGCATTTTTTAGTCAACTCACGGTTTTACGTATTTACAGAAGTCTTTGCTGAGTACCGTAGATGGACTTAATTGTTAACTTACAAATGGCAGCTACTTAACTCAATCACCATGTTCATATGTATCATGATGAAGCCACATCTGAAAATACAGCTTACTTCTTAGTTCTGCTATCGTTTTCTGACTGCTTTTTTCTTTAACAGATATCTCATAAACTGTATAATCTGAAGCCTAGGTTGAGGGTGTGAAACAATAGCAACTGAATAATCTGATAATATGAAAAACAAATAATCAGAATTTGAGCTCCATCCATGCCATCCTGCATATTTCATCACTCGACTGAAAGGTGTCTCACACTGCTTACAATGTGATGGTGAGTCTGCCTGCTGTGACACTATTTTTTTAACGGATATTCTGGCTGCACTCCAACCATCCTGTGCTAGTTTGACTCAGCTGCACAGAGCATATGTTTCTATTTAAGCGCCGCTGCTGCATGGTCAGATTTGTAATCAATCCTCTGGAGCTTTCTCTCCAAGGCTAAATTTATGGCATACATCACCCAAGCGCTGTTCGAGTGGGAAAGTGTTTTCCAAAAAAACTCCAGAATTCTTAAACGACACAGTTTAAAGTTTATGGGAGCGAGATTTAGAGTCACAGTCAGTGAAAATAATAAAAATTTGGCCTTTGAACTTTGAATGTCCAGATACACTTATTCTTTCCATGGGTTTCTGTACCTGAATGCATATATATGCAAGTGAGTATTTTACCTTGATCAAACTGCTTTTGAATGTTGTCCTGGTCTGTCTTGTTCCCACTTACACGGTACAGGCCCTCTGTTGTTAGACCTACAAACACAGATGACAGATATATTCAACAACAATTCCAACAGATTAAATGTGGTCTTTGGCCTTATACAACAAATTTTGAATACAGATTAACTCAAACTAGAGACAAACAGAGCAAATTCATCACGTGGTAATGTGTTTGTGGTATTTTTTAATCATTAAGTATTTCAAAGTATTTCAAATGATAATTACTTTAGTTTTCTTTGCATGTTCAGCATACAAAGTTTAGGTAATAAGCTGCAATATTCATGAAACACAGTATAGTTAAAAAAACTCTAATAGATATTGAATATTGAACGTATACAGCTATGTTTAATGTTTTATCATATATCATCTGTATATTTTCACATTATTCATAAACCAATGCCTTTTGTAAAGTCACATCTGACACACGACTGAGTGACCTTAATTGTTTAAAAGGTTTTTTTAACAAAAATCCTAAACTATACTGTCACTAACTACAAATGTGGCTACAGATATGTTAACAGCTATCATCTGAAAAGCACCCACATAATTCGTAAAGATTCTCCTCTGTGGCTGCTGCAAGGTCATTCCCACTGCAGTATACATGCCTGCATGGGTGTATGTGTGTGTGTTTGTATGTGCATATATTGTGTCCCTGCTGAGGCAGTTAAGCAGACCATGTATTATGTAAATTCAGCAGTAATGGACTCAAGTAAATCATGTCAACTGTGAGCAAAAGAAGGTCTACGCATGTCAGATGGTATACGTTTGTTTTTCTGCGTCTATTTGTTCATTGGGAGCAAGAATACATGATTTGAGTGGTGTTTTACCACAATATTACCACTTTACATTGTCTGTTACACATCTATAACATTTTTCATGACACTTATTAAAGAAATATATCCCCTGAGTTAAGCCCAATTAAAGACCCCCTTGAGCCAGTTTGTTTTGAACAATTGATGGCATTAATTCCATCAGCAAGTTTTTGAGTTACGCAAACAGAACAAGTGGAAAATTTGCGCTCTGTTGGTGCAGATTTAATATGTTCAGATTGCTGTATTTATGAAAACTTGCAGGATCCCCCACACTTACAACCAAAAGCTTAAACCTTCAGCATGATGACATTTACTTCAAAGAAATTACACGGTATAGCAACGCCAAATCAAAAATGTTCTGAATAATTGTCAAAACCAGTGTGTGTTCACTCATAAGAGCAGTCTTGTTGTTACTGATGTGCTTTTTTAGACTTAAAAGCCAACAGAGACATACTGAGACAACCACAAGAAATACAATTCCTGGGCATGAGGCTGGTTCCTGAGGTGCAGTTGTCATGGCTCAGATCCGAAAAAGAGCTTTAAAAAAGCCTCCAATAAGGCTTAAGCCACAAGGTTTATTAAACGAAATTGACTGAGATTATAACAGCATGTCCATTTATATTAACTCTTGTTATTTTGACCTTAGATGTAGCCTTCTCAAAGCAGATGCTGCCCATCATGCACAGAGAGTTGGTAGGGTAAGTCATCAAAGGAGCAGACACTGTGTTTTTCTAACTTCTAATTTTAACTATAACCACATGTTTTAATTTGCCTTCCTGCAGTCAGTACCTGTAACTTCTCTGCTCACCCTTTTTTACACCAGCTAAACTCATGTAGAATTCACAATAAAAATCAGAGCCCCTACATCATTTTGCAGTGCAACAAATAAATAAATCAAGAAAAACAAAAAGGACACAAACAATATATAACATACAAACATACATTGACTTTCAAAGTCATGCAAACAGTCCTATCAGTGAGACTTAATCAATTATAAACTATCAGTCCATTGGGTAATATTTACTACTGCATTCACAGATGACCAATTTTAAGGGGAAATGTGCCATAATCTGATTTCTGTAGTCTTAAATAACATCAAATATTTTACTGTATTTACATGTTTGTAAGTGTATTGTAAGTTTCCACAGTTATACATTTGAACTTTATCATTTAATTAGGTCTAGTTTTTCTTTTTTTTCCAAACATTCTCAAAAACACAGAATACTGTATAATTTATTAACCTGACCTTAAAACGAACCATCCAACGCCCTTTGGCAAAATGTCACTGTTCTTTGCATCTCTACGTCCTTACGATGACATTTGATTTCCAAACAGGATGTTTCACTGAAGACAAACGTATACGCACACATGCACGCACACACGCACACACACAAACGCAAAGCAGATCTGAAGGAAAGGAAGTCAGCAGTAGAGTTGATGTTTGCATGTAGGGATCTGATAATACTCATCCTACTGTGATATGATACAATTTCCCAACACACATGGTCTTATCACTACTCATCTCCTCATCTCAACGTTTCCATCTCTGTTTCGATCTCTCTCTCTCTCACTACCTGCCTCTACCTATTGGCCAGTTGAAACAGTTATTTCATGTCCATGATAACATCTGTTGGGAGGTGACAGGCTCACCAAGTAAAAAATCAACCTCTCCCTTTCATTTAAACATACTGAGAATGATCTGAATATTTGTACCGTAAGGAACTTTGAAGGGTCAAAACAAAACCGGAACCTAAAAGTCTATGTCAACAACCTATACTCCTGTGCTTAGAGTTAAACAGATTATTCTCATTACAATAATTAGTTCAAGGTGCTGACGGACCAATCTTGACAGCACTCCTGTAATCAGCTTAAAGGTAAATGTCACAATTGCCTTGGGTGCAGGGATCCAATTGCAGGACCACGGAAGGAATACTGAAATCCAGGGAACTCAAGTCAACTATGTCTTTACTATAAAAACAAAAAAATAAAAATAACACAGGAGAGGATGGATTAAAAAAAAAAGATTAACTTAACTGGGCAAACAAAAGCAGAATCCTAAAAGTATGAAAGAACTAAAAAACCTGGACTGGCTGAATTGAAGCCAGGAGAAAGACAAATGTGAACACGTAAGGCCTAAACACATAGATCAGAGACATGGATGAGACGTATGGCAGTGTTTGGCAAGGATCTGACAAGACATGGAAGATACAGAGAGGTTTATTTAGGAAGGATGATAAGTAAAATGGAAAGCCATTGAAAAGAGGAGCACAGGGGCACAGAATTGAGTAGAACAGAGACACAGAAAACTGAGGAAAGTACAGGTGGCAGAAACACAGAGAAACAGGAAACTGATGCCAAAATAAAAAACAGAAAACAGAACATGGAAAGGGACGGAGATAATTGAACTAGACCCAAGTAACAATCTAAGAACATCCATCCATCCTTTATCGTTACTGCTTATTATTCCCTAATGGGGTCGCGGGGAAAACTGAAGCCTATCCCAGTGGTCAATGGATGAGAGGCAGGGTACACCCTGCACGGTCCGCCAGTCCTTCGCAGGGCCACACACAGGACATACAAGGACAAAAAACCACGCACACTCACATTCACTCCTAAGGGCAATTTGGAATGGACAAGTTAATTCTAAGGGTCTTGTGAAGATCAATGGGAAAGAGAAAGGGGAAATATTTCTAATAATGAAATCCTTCCATAACATCTCGGGTTGTAGGGTTATACCTGTGGTGTGTCATGAGAAGGTTTTTCTTTGGTGATAATTCATAGACTAACAAATCTCTTCCTTTTTAGAATTACCAGCCAAATATACAGCATATGGTGTCACACTAGTCATTATTTGGTGTCATAAAACCTGATAAATCTGATTATAATTAATTATTAATTACAGCTAAATGTCAAATAAAATAAAGACATTAAAAAAATTAGGAAATATTTTTTAAATGTTCATTGTGTTTGAAATCAGATCTATAAATTTGCTCCAGAGTGACTTTGTCTGTGATTTTAAAGCACTTTTTCCCAAAGGAGTGTGAACATTTGCAAACAATCCTTGGAATATGTAATGAAGTGAATTTTAATGTCTGGAAGTCATCCTGCTGATGAAACCTTCCTCCAGAGAGAATAGAATTGTGTGTGCGTCTGTCTTACCAAGAGCATGGCTCTATGTGTATGAAGCAATGACCCCAGGTGTGCGCTTTCTTTGTCTTTGTATTTCTTTTTAATTAACACACAAACACACACACACGCATAACTTTAGAGTTAAGGCTGTGGTCTGGTGGAGTCATCAGTTCTTTTAGTGGTGTGTTAATTTAATGACCGTCCTACCACACGGCCATGGGTCAATATAAATCAATATGGAGGCAGTGTGTTGAGTTTGTATGTGTGGATGATTTAATATAGGGGCATCTTGGGTAATGAGATCCATTGCCAGATACACACCCCGCATGGTCCCAGCAGGCAACAGAGCCACAGCTGCAGTCAGAGATCTGTATGATTGGGCAGCACATCTCAGAGTGACTTAACGCATATAAAGATTACAACTGCAAAGAGTTTCCTCAAGAGATGTATACTGAAACACTTTCTGTTTCAGTATACATCTCTTGACTGTCACTTAAATTAAACAGCACTTTCTGCATAAATTGAACGATCCTGTCAAGATGTATTTAGCTTTAGTATATTGGATTCTAATCAATTGTTGCCATTTTCATTTAGTTTGTAGAACATTCCTTAAATCAACAAATACAAAATAGACAGAGCAAACCCACGGCAGCATAGATTAACGGTGAAAGCACAGAAATTCAAAGCTGTAAAAGTTAATGACAAGACCAATTGGCTTTTGGTACACTGCTGGGTTGTTTGCCATACCAACTAGATTCGCCAACCAGCTGCACTCCATGCATATTGCCTCACTTCAGGACACACTGCCCTGGGATTCAGATACCTCACCTCGGCCCTCTGCGTTTCCATCTTTAGTCGCTACAGCGAGGATGAAGAGACTCCATTACCTGAGTCACCTCTGTGGAGGTGACCTGCTCGTCTCATTTTACCGTTGTTAAAAGGGCCTCCATTTTGCCTCGGTGGCTGGGATGGGCTGATGCAAGTGTGCTCATCCTAAGATCTTCCATGGTCAGTGTGAACGGGCATTGCACATTCTGCCACCAAGGTGCACTCTTCAGAGGCATTTCCGACTCCACTCCCAAAATTTTACGCCACCATCCCTCTGTCTCTACATGAATAGTGCACGCAGGTACAAACAACCTAAAATCATAACGGTCTATGAGATGTTGAAAAAGCAGCTCATCCACCTCCACAACATTAAACAGATTAGTAAACAATGAATTATCTCAGGTCCACTGCCCGACTCCCGCTTTGAAGATGTTATATTCAGCTGACTGCAACAGCTTCACGTCTGGTTTAAAGGATACTTCAAATTAATCAACATCCCTTATGTGGACAATTTAAAAAACATTCTATAACTTACCGTATCCGTTTAAACCAGGTGGCATTCATCCAAACCACACAAGATCAAGACTTCTCTCAAATTTACTTACACTTCAATCCTGCAAATTAGTCATTGACTGATGGTACCATAACATCCATAAGAAGACCCCCTTCTCCTGTACACCATACCCCAGTCCACCAACAGGAATCTTACACATCTAAGGTCCTCTTCATATTCTAACTGCAGTCCATTGTCTCCATTGTATTCACATATCTCCTGTCAGAAATTTTAAAACAACTATGTCGGAACAGAACTCAAGTACAATTTTTTACTTTTCTAACCTTGTCTCTTTTTAACTGAAATTTGGCTTGGCACTGACGCATCAGTTACTCCCACTAGATTTTAATTTTCTACTTTCTTGTAGGGGAGGTAAAAAACAGGGTGGTGATGTAATTGGGTCTGGGGCCTCCTTTTTCAGCCCTCACAGACCCTGAGGGCCTCTGTAGCTTTTATATTGTTCAAGTCAGAACCAAAACGTCTGGTGTCTGTGGAACAAACTACTAGAGAACCTCAGGACTGCGGAGCCTGTTGATGTTTTTAAAAAGAGGTTGAAGGCCTACAATTATATCCTAGACTTTTAATTTGAATACTTAAATATTTATTCTGTTTCTGTTTTCCTGGTGTGGACAGTTCCCCAATATGTTGTTACCTCACAGTAGCGTCAGGCCAGTTTTAAGTCAAATAGAATGTAACTTGAGGTTGGATAGGATGGTGAGATCAGAATCAGAATCAGAATCAGAATCAGGTTTATTGCCAAGTAGGTTTTCAGACTTACAAGGAATTTGCCTTGGTGTTTAGTGCACAACACAACACTTCTATGAGAAGCAAGAATAAAAAGTAGAAATAAAGATATAGGGCAGAATGATAAAACTGAAAAATCCAATCTTTAAAAGTATAAATCTGAATGTACAAATTAACAATCTTTAAAAATATAGATTTGAATGTGCAAATCAACAATTGAAATGTGCAATGTTGATCTGCAACGACAGACCAGAAAATGCTGGAGCATTGGGTAAATTAGTGAGGTAGAGGGGGGGGGGGAGAAGAATAGGTGGGGGTCGCTGGTCTTGTTGATGAGGCCAGTTGCTGTTGGATAAAAACTGTCTTTATGGCGTGAGGTTTTGGTCCTGATGGTCCTCAACCTTCTGCCAGAGGGGAGAGTTTCAAAGAGTTTGTGACCAGGGTGAGAAGGATCAGACATGATCCTTCCTGCACGCCTTAAAGTCCTGGAGGCGTACAGGTCCTGAAGGGATGGCAGATCACAGCCAATCACCTTCTCGGCTGAGCGAATGATACGCTGCAGTCTGCGCTTGTCCTTAGCGGTGGCAGCAGCGTACCAGATGGAGATGGAGGAGGTGAGGATGGACTCGATGATGGCTGTGTAGAAGTGCACCATCATTGCCTTGGGCAGGTTGAACTTCTTCAGCTGCTGCAGGAAGAACATCCTCTGCTGAGCTTTCTTTGTGAGGGATCTGATGTTCAGCTCCCACTTGAGCTCCTGGGTTATTGTGATCCCCAGGAAACAGAACGACTCCACAGAAGCAATTGTGGAGCCACACAGAGTGATGGGAGCAGGTGGTGCTGTGTTCTTCCTGAAGTCTACAACCATCTCCTCTGTCTTGAGCGCGTTGAGCTCCAGGTTGTTGGCTGCACACCAGGACACCAGACGGTCGATCTCCCACCTGTAGGCGGACTCGTCCCCATTTGAGATGAGTCCGATGAGGGTCGTGTCATCCGCATACTTCAGGAGCTTGACAGACTGGTGGCTGGAGGTGCAGCTGTTGGTGTACAGGGAGAAGAGTAGGGGGGAGAGAACACAGCCCTGGGGGGATCCAGTGCTGATGGTCCGGCTGTTGGAGGTGTGGCTTCCCAGCCTCACATGCTGCCTCCTGTCAGATAGGAAGTCGGTGATCCATCTGCAGGTGGGGTCAGGCACACCCAGCTGGGAGAGCTTGTCCTGGAGTAGAGGGGGGATGATGGTGTTGAAGGCGGAGCTAAAATCCACAAACAGGATCCTGGCGTAGGTGGCCGGGGAGTCCAGGTGCTGGAGGATGAAGTGGAGAGCCAGGTTGACAGTGTCATCTACAGACCTGTTGGCTCTGTAGGCAAACTGCAGTGGGTCCAGGTGTGGGTCTGAGATGTCTTTCAGGTGGGCAAGGACAAGGCGCTCAAATACCTTCATCACCACGGAGGTCAGGGCGACAGGTCTGTAGTCATTGAGGCCTGAAATCTTTGGTTTTTTGGGGACGGGGATGATGGTGGAGGTTTTGAAGCAGGCGGGCACATGGCATGTCTCCAGCGAGGTGTTGAAGATGTCAGTGAACACAGGAGACAGCTGGTCTGCGCAGTGCTTCAGGATGCTAGGAGAGATAGAGTCGGGTCCAGCTGCTTTGCGTGGTTTTTGTTTCCTGAATAGGCTGGATACGTCCCTCTCCTGGATGGAGAGAGTCATGGTAGTTGACGGAAGGGGGTCCTTCAATGTGGGCAGTTGAGGGTGGGGGCAGGCCCCCGCTGAGGTGGGGATGGGGGTGCAGGAGGGCAGGGGCTGGTGGTGGCGGGGGATGGTGTTGGTGTTAGGACTGTCCCATTGTCTTTCAAATCTGCAATAGAAGTCGTTCAGCTCGTTTGCCAGACGCAGGTCGTTGACAGAGTGGGGGGGTTTAGGTTTGTAGTTGGTGATCTGCCTGAGCCCCTTCCAGACAGATGCAGAGTCGTTGGCTGAGAACTGTTTTTTGAGATTCTCAGAGTACAGCCGTTTAGCGTCCCTCACCGCCTTACTAAACCTGTACTTCGACTCCTTAAACCTGTCCCTGTCCCCGCTCCTGAATGCCTCTTCCTTCTGCAGCCTCAGCTGTCTGAGTTTAGGACTGAACCAGGGTTTGTCATTGTTGTAGCTCACCCTGGTGCGTGATGGTATGCAGCAGTCCTCACAGAAACTGATGTAAGAAGTCACAGTCTCTGTGTACTCATCCAGACTGGTGGTGGCAGTCCTGAAAACATCCCAGTCAGTAGTCTCCAAACACGCCTTAAGATCCTCCACAGCCTCCACAGACCCCCCATCCTCCCATGGCAGTGGGATGGGGGGTCTTATTGTGTGCATGCGTGTCAGTGAGGGCATGAAATTAAGTCATGATCATGTATCTTTTTAAACATTTCTTATGTCTGTTATTCAAGACCTGTGATTTAATGTGTTTTAATGTAAACCACTGTGTTTCTCTATGGATGAAGGGTGCTTAATGATTAATAAATCAATTTAATTGAAAAGGGCAGGACTGGTAGAATAGTCATTTCTATCAGAATCACAAATTACGTATGCATGCATTTTTTTTATTTTTAATTGCTGTCAAAATGCAACCAGGTCGAAAAAATACAATGGTGGTTTGCAAGTTGTTTACAATAAATGCACATTTAGTTTTCTTAGGCTTAATTGACAATGCCAAAACAAAAACCCACAACAAAATAAATTTTTAAAATTGCACCGTTTTCTGATGTAAGATTTGAATAGATACGTTTGTATTGTTTTCTGATATGGAAAAAGATCTTACAGTACACCCTTCAACCTTACAAATGACTGATTTACATATTTATTTGAATATGAGGCCAATGTTTAACGTGTGACTGAACAGGATGGTGACAAATGCCTTTCAGCACTGAGGATGAGGCGTTTGTAATATAAACATTTTCCAACCTTAGTGTAAGTGCCTTTATTTTTATCCCATCAAATAAAGGCAAATGTCACACTACCTTAATGCATCAACACAATTTCTGTGGTAACTGACTCCCAAGACACTAATAACTGTCACTGTTTATTTTTGATTGACATGCGCGCATAAAGTCTGACAATCTTAGTCAATATTAAAGAACCTTGAGAAGAAAACTATTAAATATATGCCATCATGTGCAAAAATAAAAGCAAAACAGTAAACATTAAATATAATACAAATTAGATAAATGAGATGGGGTGATGACAGAAAGGGCCAAAAAGGGTAAAGCTGAATAAGAGATGAGATAAGAGATGAAAGAGGAAGTGTGAGGGGGGAAAGGGTATGAATGACGCATTAAGAAAGATGAAATGAGGTAGAAAAAAACATTTAAATGGAATGAAAACAGAGGGGGAGAAAGGGTCAAGGAAGGAAAACGCAAAGCGCAAAAGTCAAAGATGGTGCAAACAAGAGACTACGAGAAAAATGAGAGCACAAAGGAGGAGAAAAAGCATCAGAGGAAATCGGAAAGAAAATACAGAAAAAATTAACCAGGGCAAAGATAATAGACATAACAATACAGGAACAGAAAAGAAGAATGTGTGGTTTGACTGGAAAATAGGGTGGATGACAGAGAACAGGAGATAACAAAGGTAAAGCTTGTGTTGTACAACATGGTTGACAAAACACCCTGAAGAGACCTTCAAAGTCACCGCATCATCACACACACAATATTTGTACACGTGCGCACACATGTAAGGGAGCGGGTACTCTCTTCTCTCTCTCCTTGTATGAGAGTCAGCAGCAAGGTGATCTGTGAGGTCAGTGCCTCTCAAAGAAGCATCTCTGTCATGTTTGTCACAGCAGGCCTTCGGAAATCACATTACACCCTCTCTGCAGCTATTAAAGGACTGTTCCACTCTTCTTTATCACTCCCAGTTCTTTTAAGATATCAAAATAGCTCCTTCCTTCCCACTTAGTCTCTTTCAGACTTCAAACAAATCCTGAAAATGTGTGCATAACCCTCAGAAACTCACCCACGGCTGATCCAATGTGGAGGCAACCTGTCTAAACAATCTTGCGTTGCAATTAAAATGACAATGACCTCTTTGAAATAAAAAGCTAAAGCTGGAAATAATTCATTAGGATCAGATCACACAGTGAGTTTCATTCAAAATCCTGCTTAGGGCATCCACCACATACTGACAACTAATCTAAAAGAAGTTAATCGGGTCCTGCGCCAACAGTCCTTCCTCCAAATATAGACGAGCATATAAACTGTTTTCAAACAGGGTTTCCTTTGGACAGCAAATCATGTTCTAATGCTTGATCACTAAAATGCATCCAATGTCTTCTTTTTATACTCCCTGAGACTCTTGTCAGCTTTATTACATGTTTGCTGGTGGCACTGTTACACAAAAACCAAAGAGAATTTCAAACAAGAAAGAAGGAAAACATAAGGGCTTTTTAAGGCAAGCTAATGGATGACTGGACTGCTCAAATAAAGCTTGGGGACATGTTCTTCCTGTCACACATGCACTTGCACGCAAACCCATTACACTAGATGACTGCCTTGGAGCCAGGTGGCAGAGCAATGGCCTCTTACTCGCCCCTTTCTCTCTGCCCAACCTGTCCTGAAGACAAGGATGCACACACATACACAATACATTTAACGTACACGTACACACATACACATACAAATACAATTACAATTGATGCAGAGTTTTTATGCTTTAGGACCTGTTCCAGTGCACACTGGCTTAGCGAGGCCCTGCCTTCAGGTTAGATGAAATTGCACAGGGTCCCATTGCTGTGCTGCTCACACAACAGATGCAAGAACCAGTTACCTAATCTAGTTGTCACATTACCCTAACAATTTAACAGTGGTGGGCCGTCAGGGCCTTCAAGGCCTTCTCTGAAGGCCTAAGAAAATATCTGAATCACAGACTGATGTTAATTATATTTTGTCCATGAAAACTTAAATTAAATATCTCGAAATAGTCTGTCAGCTTCCTTTCATAGCTTTCCCCCTGGTTGCGCTGCTTCCAGACATGTATTTTCACATAAAAGCATTTAACCAATCACATTTCAGACATCCTTTGTCGCTAGGCAGGGTCAAAGTCAAAGATGTCTGCCTGGAGGCCTTCACAATCCGTTCTGCAGGCCCCCCCCCCACAGAAAATACATGTCAAGTACATTGTTGCTTCAACCAATCAGATTTTAGGTTGGTGATGCCAGGGCCTGCGCGAAGGCTCAGGAAATGCCACCGTACCCACACCCGCTGATTGGATAGTCAGATATCCAATCAGGGCAAAGCTAGCAAACAAACCGAAATATAGTTGTGTTGGTGTAATAGCTATTTTATTATTTCGTGGCGGATTTACTGTCAAGACCATTTTCAAAACGGACTTTTCAAGAAAATTAAGTGAGTAAAATGTTTTTTTCCTAAATAATATTGCGAGTTTATGAAGATATTATTGATGTATTTTTATTTTGTTTTTGTTTTTTTTTGGGGGGGGGGGGGGTGCAGCTGTAGCTGCAGGAGTAGAAGACTTGTGCACCCCTGATCTTTAGACTGTATTTTAGGCTTGTCCTGATCCGATATTTGGATCGTATCGGCCGGCATGAGAAAATGCCAGATACATTTATTTTTAAAAGTCCGATCCCACCCGAGCATTAGCATTAGCATCTGTAACCCACAGGTCTGTGTAAACTTTAGTTGTTATAAGAGTAAATCCCTGTTCAACATGAGTCTGTCAACTAAGTAAGTAGAAAAAAAAAATCAACTTTAATACAAAAAGCTGGATCGGCACATCCCTACTGTATTTCTACATAATAAGATGATTTCTATAACCATAAAATAGTTATTGAGGGGTGAATTGATTCAGACGGAGCACTACTGAAGGCCTAGGTGTGAAATGCACGGTCCGCCACTGCAATTTAATAAATATCACAAGGAAAGACAGACTTTATAATGTACCAGCTACATCTGACAATGCTGTTTGTGGATAAGTCTCTTTTCTTAAAAATGTGCATTCGCACTGTAATACTGGGAGGATAGTTAAACATCTCCATCCCTACTCTAAAGAAAAAAGCAAATTATCTACCACTATGTTAGACCATAAAAACTAAGAAAAACTAAGAATAATTTAAGTAACTGAAACAAGGATGCACTAAAAAAATGAGAAGTAAAATACAGCATTTCAGTCAGACTTCAACCTAAATCCCAAGGCTAAAATTGTCTATCTGTACACATTTTATTTGTTGCAAACAATATGCTAAAAACAACATATGCTATGCACATGGTTCAGTTCAGAAGAAGCATCATCCAAATCACTTTTCTCCTCTAAGAACCCTAGGAGCTACTTTAAAGTTTTTGATGGTCTTTCCAACATTTGCAATGTATGTAATAAAACACACATCAGACAAGCACAGAACATACAACAATAATGATCTAATGCTGCTTTAAAAAACAAACACTTTTGCTTGCTCCCCTTTTCCTCATTTCCCCCTTTGGCAGTTTAGACTGTACAGTTCCACGTTACAGTAATATATACCTACAATTATATAATGAAAGAAAGCACACATTCTGAGCTCTGGCAGCCTTGGATTTTTCACTTTCAGTAAACTTTGAGTTATGGCTTTACTCTACTCCGGTATGCATGCATCGTCTTGGGGAGGGGTGGGGTGGATTTCAGCCCATTTGATACCTAAAGTACAAAAGTACTACAGCCACTTCGCTCCGTCTCTCCTGTCTCTCTCTAGGAATGGTAAGCACATACAGAGACCAAAAACATTCAAATAAATACCGAAGAAGCCAGAAGTACCATGTTTCGCCTAGACAAAGGATGAAAGAGGTCAGAATCCCTACTGAGTGGTGCGAGGATTGGAAGAGTGGCTTCTAAAAAATTTGGCCAAAGGCACAGTCATGCACGAACACACTCAAAACACAGATTTGTTTCCATATTTCTGGACATGTCTTATAGTCATTGACCAGGAAATCTACAAAGAAGAGATTTTATTTGATTCATTTTATTAATATTTTGACAGATCTGCTGCCCTTGTTCATGACAACTGTGAAATGAAACAAGTAACTACTATGATGTCTATTTTGGAATGTTCATATTCATCATTACCTTGTTTTTTTCATCTTTAGATCATTTTTAAATCTTGCCACTAACCACCAAAAAACCCTTTTCAGAAACACGGCATAGCTAAATCTTTGAGGTGTGCCTCTATTGCATACTATCTGCATGCTAAGATGTAACAGCTCGTTCACCTCTTTACCCGTCAGGTGAGGGATTTTTGCAAGCCGTTACAATTTAAACAACCATCAATCTTTCACCTGCCAGCTACTTAAACAAATACCAACCAGTGATTTTTCATAAAAATTATGAGT